GCTCGCTTACTTCCTGGCTCGGCGACTAGACGCTGTTGTGCTCTCACGGGGAAGCCTGCAAGTCGGGCAAAAATACAGCTAAAACCGGCTCTGAGTTCCCCGTGGCACCAAAGCCGTTGCATTGGTACTGAAAGCTGCCCGAACTGTTTGGGCAGGCAACGTCTCTGCCTTTGTTTGAAAGCTCAGAAGTGGGTAGACACCCCCCCCCTTTTCTTTTTTTTGGCCCAGTGCACCTCAATAAACCCCGCGTGCGCTGGGAGCACACCCCGTTTGTCAGGACAAGGCTGCTGCCTGCCCTCTCTCCCGCCTCCTACCTCTCCCGATCCAGAACTTCTGCCAGAACTGACGCGCTCTGGACCCAAACCGCAGGGATCTGTTCAGCTTCATCGTTTGTGTTTTCAGTCCTGCCTAGTATAAGTAGCTGAAGTGGTGTGAGTTAAGACTTTGTACGCTGCCAGGTGCACAGAAAGTTATCAGGCGCTCTTTGATGCGTTGGTAAGAGTCTCATGAAGAAATAAAACATAAATTCATTGTACGAAGAGCAAACTGAAATTCTATATCGGTGAAAAGCATGTGTGCGTTATTTTACGGTTTTCTACTGTGGCAGCTATTTTAACCCCTTTAGTTGATCAATGAGTATTAGCAACTTTAAGCTCCCTTTACTGTATCATCCTTAGCAATCATTATTAGATCCTTTCCATTAAGCCTGATGTTGTTGTCCAGCCATAATGTCAGCAGTAAAGTGGATAGCAGTTCAAGCCTGGACTCAAAGCGTGTAGCTGTTATCTTCCCAAAATACTTTTTTTATAAATCTTTTCCTCAACTTTAACCTCATTCTTACCTTCAAGATTGCATTTTTCAAGCACCAGAGCTGGTGATGGGATATAAGATACTGACTTGTGTAAGCAAAAGATTTTAAGGAGAATGAGAAGGCTTGGCGTGGCTCTCCAGTAGCTTTATAATTACAGTAAAATCAAGTGCTGCAGTAAAGAGCATGTAGGCTGTATTATCATATTTGGCTCTTCTGTGTCATCCCTCACCAAAAGGCAAGGTGTAGAAACTCCCACTTAAGACTTTTTGAAAAATCATAGTTTATTTTAAAAGTAAGCTCATTTTCACCTTGACAAGTTTTCCTGGCATATTAAAGGAGGAAGCGCCAGTGTAGTACTGCAGATCTGAGCAATGCCAGCATACCAAATTTGTCTGAGCAGGGAACAATCAATGAAAACAACGGATGAAGAAGCAAGAAATAGAGCAGTTCAGTTTCTAAGTGCACTTGTAACTCCCCCCTCTGTCTCCCAAACATGCAACCACTGCTGTGATAGTGTTGAAATTAATAGGATTTAAATGTCTAATAAAAAATCTCTAAATTATGATTGAAATTCAAAAGACCATGGCACTATTAATGCATATAATTCTCCAATTTCAATCTTTCGTTGTAGGCATTTTTAGATCAGATGAAAACTTTTGAAGTGAATAGCTGTTTTCTGCCAGTGAATAATTTCATTCCTACAGCTGTCTATTGACCTACTTAAATTACCTAAAAAGCATGGCATTTATATCATCTACTCAGCATTTAGAGACAATTAATCCCCAAATTTCGTTCTTACACAGCATTTCAGTGTGAGCGACACAATGGCTTACTGGTAAACATGCTTTGAATAGGGAATTATCGTTTAAACAGAAAATAAAAAGAACTGAGTATTTGATTGTATCTCTCCATGTCAGCCTTCAAAGTGTTTTTGATAAAAGCATATCCTTGTTTATGTGGCAATATTTTAGGTGTTCTTCACCTGAAAAATACCCATGGATTGAGTCATTTTTAATTTCTGTTACAGAGGAGGATGGTAGGAGAGTGTTATTTGCTTCTGACTGTCCGTCAAGGCCAAGAATTAGTAACAGCAGGCACTGAACATACTAAAAAAATATTTCTGTTCCAAACAAATTATAATCTGAATAGCAGAAGAAATGGGGAAATTTTACAGGTGGAAACCCGAGACAATGACAGATGAAGAACAACCATGTAACCCCAAATCACACAAGGTTACAGCAAAACCAGATGCAAATTTTGAATTGGTGGGAGGACTGGGAAAAAGAGAGGGTTCTTTTGAACATGCTTCTATTTTGGTGAAACATTTAGGCTTTATAACATTTAAATACTTGAAAAATATATTATCTTTTTGCAAATGTTTTCTTAAGAAAATACAAAACAAGTACTGAAAAACTGAAAACATCCAGAACTTGTAATATGACATTTCCTTTTTTTTTTTAGTTTTAAAATGATGTAAATATGATTTCCTTTCTTCCATTTTTGAGTTATTTTAAAAATTTGGACATTTAAACATAATTTTAAAATGTGACATTTAAAAAGTCACACAGCAAAAGCTACTTTTTTCAACTATTCTTTAGCGGAATATTTTGAAACAGATTTATTCTTTTAACTAATTTTTAAAAAATTTTGAAATCACCTCCACCAATTCTGGTTTAAATCACAGCTACACTCACTAAAGGCTCTCACTCGGAGCTGGCAACATCTTACCTTGCAATGCTGTCCTAGTTCTTTTCCTCAGCTGTCTACCTGACTGTCACCGCAAAAATGGCTCAGTTGGTTATGAGTTGCAAGTTACAGCAATATGGAAAACATAATGGATTATATTAAGGAAAATTAAAGTGAACACCAGTTTATCTTAATAATATCAGGCAGTATTGGGAGTGAATGTGTGTCTGGTTCCTAAGCAACTGATTCACCACTGCTAGAGAAATTTAGAAGCAGTCTCCATGGCAGGAGAGGAGCTGCTAAGTCAAAGCAGAGCAAGCGCTTTGGTGTATAATACAAAGTATGGTGTCCAAACAAAAGCAACATGCGGCAATCAGAAAGTATGAAGTTCTGTGAACTACAAAAACACATGAGGAATGCCATTGCTGCCATGGATCTTCCTAGTGCACTGCACACAGTCTTTTAAATGAGGCAGTTTCTGATGTCTGGGTGTTTTGCTACGTTATGTCATAAAGATCCACCTAACCAACAGTTGGCATTGTGCCACAAGATTCTTGACGTGGACGGAGAGAGAAGCGGTCTCTACTGCATACACAAGCATGTTTACAGCTAGCAACCATGAGATGTTGGAGTTCAGGATCCTGCAAGGAGGCAGCAGGGCAAAAAGCAGAATCGCAGCACTGGACTTCAGGAGAGCAGACTGGCCTGTTCACGGACCTGCTTGCAAGAATCCCTTGGGATATGGCCCTGGAGGGAAGAGGCGTTCAAGAGAGCTGGCTGATATTCAAGGATCACCTCCTCCAAGCTCAAGAACGGTCCGTCTCAACAAGCAGGAAAAACTGACAGGACCAAATGTACTCTCAGCAAGTTCACAAGATGATGCAAAACTGTGAGGAGTGGCTGATACACCAGATGGTTGTGCTGCCATTCAGAAGGACCTCGACAGGCTGGAGAAAAGGGCAGAGAGGAGATTCATGAAGTTCAGCAAAGGGAAATGCAGAGTCCTGCACCTGAGGAGGAATAACTCCATCCACTAGTACAGGCTGGTGGGACAGACCAGCTGGAAAGCAGCTCTGCAGAGAAGGACCTAGGGGTTCCGATGGACAAGTTAAGCATGGGCCAGCCATGCACCTTTATGGCAAAGGTGGCCAACTGTATCCTGAGCTGCATTAGGAATAGCATTGCCAGCAGGTCGAGGGAGGTGATCCTTCCCCTCTACTCAATCCTGATGAGGCCATACCTGGAGGGCTGGATCCAATTCTGGGCTCCCCAGTACAAGAGAGACATAGAGCTCCTGGAGCGAGTCCAGCAAAGGGCCACTAAGATGACTAAGGGACTGGCGCAGCTCATATGAGGAAAGGCTGAGGGTGCTGGGACTGTTCAGCCTGGAGGAGAGCAGGCTCAGGCGGGATCTTGTAAATGTTTATAAATATCTGATAGGAGGGCATAAAGAAGATGGGGGCCAGACTCTTTTCAGTGGTGCCTATTGACAGGGCAAGAGGCAGCAGGCACAACTGAAATACAGGAAATTCCATCTGACCAGAAGAAAACACTTCACTCTGAGAGCAGTAGAGCACTGGAACAAGTTACCCAGAGAGATTTTGGAGTCTCCTTCCTTGGAGATACTCAAAACGCAACTGGACATGGTCCTGGGCGACCTGCTCTAGCTCACCCAGCCTGAGCAGGGGAGTTGGACCGGGTGATCACCAGAGGTCCTTTCCAACCTCAGCTGTTCTGTGATTCTGTGATATACTAGGTGGGTGGCCCAGACTGTTGAATTAATGCTAGGTAGTAGCTCTGAAGTCTCTGTATTGACTGATCCATGTCCTTTCAGCTGGTGTTTACTTCTTACTTAACCTAGGCTATGATTATTGGCTATGCAAGGAATTAAACTTCCTGAATGTGCAAATGTGTCTTTTTATTCATGTTGCATACCTGCTGAATTCCATACATAGCAGAGTAGTATTGCACTGAGATATAGGTATGGACCTATTGGCTCAGCACCATCAGGCACAGGTACAGTGGAGGTTCTGGATCTGCTTACTGTAGGCAATATTTCTGAGGAGATGCTTGGCAATGTACTGAGTAGGTTCAATGCATTAGAAGTACAATCAAGATGGCTCAGAAGCAGCTATACCTCCTACAATTTTCAGGTGAGGTTTTGCAAGAGTGTAAAAAACCTAGCCTAAAATGACGTTGCGGAAGAAATGAGATCTTTTGAATAGATCCAACTGAGAAGAAAGCACAGGCTATTCGTTTGTGTGTAGATTTCAAGGAGTTAGCTAATACTAGATGATTGACAGATATCCATTTCCATGTGTTGAAGAAGTGTTTGCACAGCTTCTTGATTCTTCTCAAAACCTGCAGAATGCACATCACCAAGTTGCATTGCGTAAGGGCAGCAGAGATCTTATAGCATGTATTAGTAACAGTGGATTTTGCACTGAAGACATATTCCTTGTCAACTTGACTGAGATCCCATTGCCATGCTTAGAATGGAGCCTATCATTCTCATGAATCTATCTGGAGTTCAGACTTCTGCGGCTCTGTTATGGTACTGGGAAACAGCCCTGGATTCCAAAAAAGGAGCTGTATTTGTCTTCAGGAAAATGCCATTATTAATAACTGTAGTATCATTTAAGGCATATGTTTCTACACTTAAAGCACTTCCATCAACTTCAGGTGACCATTTTACATTCTTAGATATTTGTGTCATTAGATTAAATTTTTTTTCATATTTATTATTGTTTTCCTTGTTAAGAGGGTGCATGGGGTGAAATGAGAGTTGCAAGAGTCAAGTGACTGCTGGTGAGTTCTTCTGAGGACATGCTGGGTGTAGTTTCTTTAAAAATACGTCATGGTATCATTACAGATGGCAGCAGTTAGGGATTATCCTCAGTATTTAGCAAGAGCAATCTTATTTGGCTACAAAGCTTTTTATTGAGCTTCTTGAGTAGGTTTTATTGGAGGTTATATCTATCAACCAAATTAAATTGAACTTCTCTGGGCAGAGTTCAGTTCTACCCCATTTCAAACTGTGAGTGTTGCCAAAAATAGAATGTGTCTATTATGGAGAATGATCTTAATTTTGTCACTATAGATACTTTTTGTTAAGGCACCTGTAATGCTGCCCCTGCTTCTCCTGCACTAACTAACTTGGAGGGACATATGGAAGGATTTAGATTTCTAATGATTTGCCATTACTTTTTCTCAGACGTTTGCAGCAACAGGGAACAGGATCAGAGTTGTCTTGGCCAGGGAAAAGCTAGCAATAGTCTAAAGGTCAGAGTTATTACAGGTTGGTCGGTGTCAATGACCTCTGTTTTCTGAGCTCATCTAGTTTCTGTAATAACTTTCACTCCTCTATAGCTTGCACACTGAGAATGTGGTCGTAAATCCTAACTTCTGTTTGTTCCCATATGGTAAGAGAGTCACACTGAAATTTGGGTCTAAATATTTGTGGTTGATGTTTCAAGGTGTAATGTAAAACTGTTTTTTTATCTTACTTATTGAGATCAGAATGTCTTTCCTCTTTTGAAAACTGACAGCTGCAATAACGTTAGCAACCACCTTCATGACAGCTCCAGAAAATACGGTTTGCTAATTTGGGGTTTTTAGAAAGATGAGAGGATGAAGCTTCTTTGTGTTCTGGAAGCTGCTTCTGATTTGCTGCCTGAGACCCAGACAAATGAGAAATTCAGAGGAGACAGTTAGTTAAGAATGCACTCTGCAATAAAATGTGTTTTAAGGGGTAGGTGAATGCAGTGGTTTTTAATCGGTTTAATAGTTCTGGAACGAGAAGGAAATTGAGAGTATGAAGGTAGGTAGAAAGCATTCCAGTTAGCAAGTAGTAGTTGCAACTTGCCAATAGCAAATTGATTCTGCTTGCAGTGTTATTTTGCTGCATTCCTGACAGGATAGTCGGTGGCTTATTTACCAATAGATATCTTCTTGTTCAGTTTTGATTTCATATGTCTTCATTACTGAATAGATTAATTTATACATGTCAAAACAGTCAAAGGAAAGCCTTGACAAAGTCTTCAAATTCTTCATCCAGCTCAAGTGAAACGCATCTAGATAGGCAGTAATATCAGTGGGCTCCTCTGCTTTCTCCATTTGGTAACCATCTTATGGAGTTACTTAAAACTTTTGCCAGAACTCATCCACTCTTAAGCACAGCCCATCCCAGCAGTGTCAGATAAAAATTTTACTCTGTCTTGTTATTGTGAAGATTTAGGGCCATGATAAGGCTCTCTTTTCACCTCTGATACCTTTATCAAATTGTCATTACCTAGCTTGAAATTTTCCTTACTGAATACCTAGCTCAGACTGAAAATCCTTGAGTAACAATTGCCAAATCTTTTAAGCTGCTTTGAAAATGAGGCTGAGGAAAAAAGATGTTTCGCCATTGTAAAATAATTCTACCTTTTTCCTGTGGAGTGCTCTTGTGCTCCCAAGCCTTGCACTAGGACTTGCAGTGGGCAGAGAGAAGGTATTTGTGCCTCTTCACATGACTTTGACCAGCCAAGGGAAAAGAATCAGCCTAATTGGACATCTGGACATCTTTGTAAAACCACAGTTGGCTCCTGTGTGCTAGAACAGCAGTATCCTCTCAAATCCTGGCATGCTTCAAGCCTCGAACCCTAGCTGAGGATCCCACTCCTCATTGCAGGTACAGGCAACAGAAGTTGTTGATTTCAGAGAAAAATATGAATAAAACTTCTTCATCTTCTGGGGGCGTGGAGGCATGAGCTATTATGGATAATGCAAAGTCCAGGCATCCAAAATGAAAGTAGAGAGATTGTCTCTCTAGTCTCATACTGAAACACTGTTCCTTCTCAGACAATATTCCCAGATGGAAATGGCAAAGGGATAAAGAGATCGACAGGAAAGTTTCTATACCCGTTCAATCTGTTTTTTACTACCTGTCTATATCATAAAATCTGTGCTTGAGCCTGCGTGATTTTCCAAGGTTAGGAAAGGTTACTTATTAATTCTTTGCTGTTCTGTTTAGCCCTCCTCTTTCAGTTTCCTGCCCGTATCTTGTTTACTGTGACATGTTGCCTGCCTTACTGGGGGTCTGGCGAACACGGTGAAGAAGTCCCTTGATATTTTGGACTTCTAAAGAAGAGAACAAAATGCTGGTCTAGGTGAATTGATTTTCAGCTGTGGGTGACTGGATGATGGAAAATCAAACATGTTTACTATCCAAAACCCACATTTTTCTGGCACTTTTGTATCCACATTTCTTTGTGGAACAATTAAACGTTTTGTTCTACGTAACTTTGAATGTTGTGGTGATGTCATTTGGGCCTCTACCAGGACCTCTGCCTACTGGTCAAGGTGCTAAAGAAGGACTCATGAAGACCCTGATACACACATAAATGACAGTGAATGGCGTTTCTTTCTCATGGACTTGTCCCGAGAGGATCTGAAGAGGATCTGAGCAGCCCAGCTCACTGTCCCTGTTCAGCTCCCAAGAAAAAGCCTGTTTGGAACCTATCCTTTTCAGAGGAGAGCATCTGGAAACGTCCCTCATGTAGAAGAGTCCCTAGTTTAGAAGTAAGAGTCTTCTCAGAGCCTGTGTTTTCTCATTTATCATCAGCTGAGCTCTGAGCGCGCAAATCGGTATCTGAAACCTGTACCAAATTTTAAAATCAGGACTCTTAGATTCATTGTGACAAGTCTGGTTTTCCTTCTCTTCCATTTTTTCATGGATCCTCATATTTGGTTCCCTTCCTCCTTTCTCCTCATCTCTCACGGATCATCTTCCAAAAGGGAAAGCAGGGGTCTTCACATGATCCATAACCTCTTGAGGGAATGCATTGTCTCTGTGTTTTCCTTACATAACTGGTCCCCCGACCCAGTTTCTGACCCTGCTTGTATGGCAGAGTACGGGAGAACTTATACAAGAAAGGGCAGGAGTTCTCTGGGCAGCCTGAACCTCACAGTCACTTCAAGGAAGGTGGAGGCTCATGAACAGCTGTCTCCTCCTCCCTCAAACTCACTCCTAGTGGCGGTAAGCTGAAGCTGGGCAGGTAGAATTTCTCCTTCTGTACTGGGGTCCAACTGTGCAGGAACGTGGAAAGGACAGCCAAGAGGTATACAAGTTCAAAGAATGGTGAAAGCGTTATGATGAACAGCATGACCAAGAAAAATGTGGAGAGTGGGGAGGTGTGTGTACAGGCAACTGGGAGAAGAGAGGCTAGGAGGGAGACTGGCAGAAGTCAAAAACGGGCAAGGGGGGAGGTCCTTGATGACTGGAAAAAGGCAAATGTCACATCCATCTTCATGGTCAAGAAGGGGAATCCAGGGAACTACAGACCAATCAATCTAATCTGAGTCCCCAGGAAGATTATGGAACAAATTGGCCTAGAAGCCATGTACATGAAGGACAGAAAAGTATTTGTGCCGCCATTGATTTATTAAGAGCAAATCAAGTTTGAACAACGTGATTGCCTTCTATGATAACATAAGTGGACAGTTCGCTTTGAGGATGAGAACAGAGCAGTATATGTGTTTATCTTGACATTAGGAAGGACTTCAACATGGTCTCCCATAATATCTGTGCAGTCAAATTGTAGATAGATGTACTGGAATGGTGTACGACAGGGTGGCTGGAAAAAAGGCTGGACTGCTGAGCTGTAGGAATTGTGACAGTGGTACAGAGTTCAGCTGGCAGCCAGTTACTGGTGATATCCATCAGAAATTGATTCAGAGGCCAATACTATTCAGTGTCTTAATTAATAACTTTGTCAATAAGAGGGAATACACCCTCAGAAAGTTGGCGAGTGATACTACATTTGGTGGAAAGGTGGTGTGCTGGAGGGTTTGGCTGCTATTCAGAGGGATAAAGACCCTCTGGAGAAATGGGCTGACAGGAATCTCATGAAGTTCAACAAAAGCAAATGCAAAGGCCTGCATCTGGGATGGACTAACATGCATCATTTCACACATGCTGACCGAGGAACTGCCCATGGGCTTAGCACTCTGCTCCATTCCCTTACCCCCTTTTATTGTGGTGGCATTGTCCCTCCTGCCACAGCCCGAGCCAGCCTCTGAGTGGCTGCAGCCCAATGCAAAGCCAGTGCAACAAAATTGGCTCTGAAGCCAGAGGATGTTTTGGGCACACACCCTTCTCTTGTTGGCCTGTGCAGTTAAAGTGCTTCACGGTAACTGAAACTTGGAGAGCAGGGCATGGGCAGATCAAGGGAGGCATGTGTGTGCTTCATGTGTGCCACAAGAGGGCACTTTGTTCCAGCCCCAGGAGGTGGTTAGAGACTTTGGAGAGAATCTGACTGAGGAGGAAAGGGAGCATTTCTGGGACCAGGCAGGCAACATGGTGCTCCCTCCCCTCTACTCAGCCCTGGTGAGGCCACACTTGGAGTGCTGGGTTCAGTTCTGGGCTCCTCAGTACAAGAGAGACATAGAGCTCCTGGAGCGAGTCCAGCGAAGGGCCACTAAGATGACTAAGGGACTGGAGCATCTCTCGGACAAAGACAATCTGAGGGTGCTGGGACTGTTCAGCCTGGAGAAGAGCAGGCTCAGGCGGGATCTTGTAAATGTTTATAAATATCTGATAGGAGGGTGTAAAGAACATGGGGCCAGACTCTTTTCAGTGGTGCCTAGTGACAGGACAAGAGGCAATGGGCACAAACTGAAACACGGGATGCTACCTGGTAAAATATCCTCATGGTGGTATCAAGCAATCCAAAGTCAGGAAGAAGGAGAAAGACTTTCATTCGCTGTGGGGATCAAGGCAGGGGGCACTTGCACATAGGGGTGTATGAGGGCTGCAGCCCTGACACACGCTGTTCTCATTCAAGGAGCCTGTTGTGAATTTAGCCCTGAAGGATCATATCTAGTCTGGCAGCACATCGGCATGGTCCTACTTAGCAGCAAGCTTGCGTGAATTGATGTGTTCTCACTAGCAGCATTTATCTTGCAATTACAGGAGGAAAAACAAGTAGGCCAAGAGAGAGGATTCAGTGCTATCTAGTTTGTCCCTTTGGAAAACCTTTTGGAACACTTATAAAATGCAGAGCAAAAAAAATATTTAAGTGTAATTGCACTTTAGCAAGATTTTCATCTGCCACTTTAGCAAGATTTTCATCTGCATTGTTCACTTTCTTCGAAGATGTCTTATCTAAAGAATATAAAGAATTCCTAACAGTCTTAGAAGTCTGCAAGTTCTCTGGGAGGTGCCCAGGAGTAAGCAATGTGCCTGCCAGTACTTCAACTGCCTGAAAGATGAACATAAACACATTAAATATCATTGTGAACTGCAGCCAGGTGAAACGTGCAGAATCTAGTTTGCATTTTGGGAAACTAGTTGTTTGCCAACCTTCACAAAACTTTTTTATCTCATCAAAGTAAAAAAGTTACAACAGGCCTTGTTACACACGTATATTATAAAATTATCATGTGTGGTAATGAATAGCCTTAATTGCAAACGCAAAGGCAAAGGCATTGTGAATTTAATTTCTGGCTTTCCATTTGCATCATTCACAAGCTGACTGAGGAATGTGCCGTCTCATTGCTGTTCTTCTGACTCATGCCATGCTTACTGTTTGCTCTCAGCTCACGTGAATATGTAGTTGTCCCGAGGAATTCATTTAGCTCTCAGAGTTTTAAGCTTGAAAATATTGGCATTTATGTCTTTTCTTAGAGGAAATAACTTACCATGATCGTTGCCTAATATGTAGAAATGGCTGAGGAACAGAAATGAGCTGGCTATGATTTTTTAATAATAAGTATATTTAACCGGAAAAGTCAACGTAATCAAAACTCAATTTTGGTGCCACTTCTGAGTAAATTTCAGGAGACGTGATCAGCAGCAGGACTGATTTCTGCTTAAAACTAGGGAGGGAGTGTTGGAATAGCTAATAGTATATACCGGTGTCTGACTGGAATGAGGGGAACCAGACTTCTGGTTCCCATTTGAACAAAAAAGTAAATGGCTACATAGAGGCAAGATCTCCCAGAGCAGCGAGAGGAACAAGTAGCCAAGAGAATAGCACTTTTCCCCCCGGCCCTAGGAGTGGCAGTCCCTGCATGATTGTGGGTAGTGGAACAGGAGCTTAAACATGGATCTCCGAGCTGGCACGTTTATGTTCAATCTGCAAGGCCATACTGGGGCACGTGTCTTGGGTAGAAAGGCTTGAGTCCTTTGGTCAGCACCAGCTTATCCAAGACTTCCTCCCATGTGGTTAGTCCTCTCTCCATTATAGCCAAGATTTATTTCTAGTGTAGACATTCAGGGAAATTGTATCCCATGAACGTCAGTCTATCACACTCTCATGGGAGTACCTGTTGTTAGAGACAAATTGTAAATTCCTTTTGGGAAGAAGGTGGCTACTTTCCCTTTTTTTCCTCCTCCTCTTTATCCAGTTAACTAGACGGAAGATCATCCACACCCTGGAGAACTTGTTCACTAATTGTGCCTGGGCTTATGGCGATGTTTGCACAAGCAGGAAAGGAAACCTGCTGGGGGCTGGCTTGGGAGAAGCAAGCAGTGATTTCATTTGAAAAAATGAATCTCAGCTCCCCAAATAAACCAAATAAACCTAGAAGCAAGGAGAGAGCTCTGGGGAAGCTAGCGTGTTGTGATGCATGCTGTTGGTCTCTTTGAAGACAGGCAGGTGACTGGGGATTTCGTTCCAGCTTGTTGGC